AATGTTTATTATTTGAACGGTATAATAAATTTAGACAAGCTTTTATTTCCCGCTGCAGAGTGGTTAGAAACACGTTTCCATCGAATAGCGGCTTACCGCCTCGACCAAAAGTATCGTCGTTATATATTATTATCGCGACATTTTCGCTCGCGAGATATTGCTGAAAACGCTCGATTTCAACAATTCCACTCCCTTCCTCCGGAATCGTGACACCGACCTCCCTCGTAAGTTGCAACGCTAACTCGCGCTGTAACACCGAGTTTTGTCTTCTCACCGCATTCCATTTCGCGTGTAACTCTCCCGTGCGTAAATTTCCACGCTCGTTAAAAATTAGAGCCGATACAAGCGCGCGAGGAAGACATAAATTATCGGTATTGGAAATTGTTAAAATCGAACGTTTAGCAATAACATCGGGCGTAAGCCCGTTACGTCCGCGACCAATGGGTGGAGTGACTTTAAAAATCCGAATGTTAAATTCTCGCGCTATATCGTGTCCTCCGCAGCTTTGCGCTAACGAGCTTACGAGTTCCCAAATATTTTCGTAAGTCAAATCTCGCGAAGGTCGGAACGATATACCTGCGGGGCCACGAGTTAAACTTGCGGAATCAAAAGACATACCGACGTAATCCCTCGGTTCGCACGAATGCAACGCGTACTCGTGAAGTTCGCGAAACGCATTTTCTAACCACTCATACGCGTTTGCTCCTTCGGGTATCGGCCGAATACGGAAACTAATTTCCCGTCCTTCTATACCAAAAGTTCTAAACCGACGCACGTTTTCCGCTAACATTATTAAATATCTAAAATTACCTTCGAGCTCTTGATTCGTTACTTCCTCTTGTCCACCAGCAGCCGCTAAATCTCGCTCTTCGTCGGAAGTTTCCTCACCGGAGCGGGTTTGAGAATCTTCTCGGTGTATTCTGACGTTCCTTCCCCCACCACTTTGTACTGTGAGAAATAAAAAATTATATTAACAAAATAAAATATTTAATAAAATATTACTCTCTTACGTTTGAATTTTTATTAATAATGTGAAACTGTTGTTATTAATAATTATGTTATGTTCACTTACGTTTTAATATTCTTTTACCGGGGCAATTGTGTCACCCTGCGAGGGTTAATACTCCGGTGAATATGAAATTTCGGGCGCGATGTTAGGAGAGAAAGAAATTCCTAATAAAATTTTATTTTAATTAGAATAAACAAAAAATTTAAACGTAGGAGAAGATTAAGTATAAAATATGTAATTATTACCTTCCTCAGCCATCTCCCCGCTATTTTCTTCTTCTTCTTCTTCTTCTTCTTCTTCTTCTTCTTCTTCTACAGAAAACGTGGTGTTGTTATTTTCATCTTCTTCTTCATCTCCCGTTTGTTCTTCTCGTTCTTCCGGCTCTTCTTCTTCATCTTCCGTTTGCTCTTCTTCTTCCGACTCTTCCTCCTCCTCCTCCTCCAGATCCTCTTCATCTTCCGGAATCGTGTTTACTTCCTCATCGATTTCCTCCCCCCGTTCTCGATCCTCTACGACCACGTTTTCATTTGCCGCGTCATCTAATATTCATCAGACATATATTATTAGTATTTCACATAATTAAAAAATCTTTTGTGTTGATATATACCACTGTAGTATTTTTCTTACTTACTTTCAAGCGGAGTAAATATGGTCGCCTCATCGAACGGACTTACTTCGCGAACCCGCACTTCTTCCACGTCGTTATCGCTTTCGGCTAAATCAATAACCGGATGCTCCAACTCCGGCGTTAACACGATGCGTGCACGGCCTGGAACGTATAACATTTTTATTAAAAAATTTCCTGTTTAATATAATGTTTTTCTAGCAGCGTGATATAATTTATAATGTTAAAAACTTACGCGAAGGCCCGGGCTCCGGCGAAGAATCCGCTCGTCGTCTTCTATTTAACCTTAGCCTTAGTGATACAGGGCGATTCTCCAGTACGCGCAGCCGGTTTCCTGTAACGCGTGCGACAGGGCGTACGAAAGCTAAAGTTTTAGCGAATTAAATAAATAAATAATTGGGGTAGTTTTAATTAATTTATTTATAATTAACTGTAATAAAAATAAAAACTTACCATTATTATCTTCTCCCCGCAGAACTCGATGAAAATGCAGGAGGAGATATTCTATGTGGCCTGCTGCGTCGTTTTCCTTCTCACCACCAAAATAGTATCGCGACTCGATCACCTCACCCGCGATAATCACTAATTCGCGAAAAACACTAAAATGCCCTAGTCGGAATAATACCGCTAGCACAGCGCTGGGACATTCCCCCGCGAATTTTCCAAAAATATTGAAGCATTTGTCTTCACTAGCGCATGCTAATTCATATATATGCCTGGAAAAATTTTTCCCGCATAAACTCTGCGCTAGTGATAGACAAATTTCAATTACTTTTTTCAAACTCATTATTTGAAATTTAATAGTACACTTGCGTCGAATACGTGAGTACGCGAGAGACGAAATTCGAAAAAATGTAACTAACTTAACTCCGAGAGCCGTATTTATACGTTTTTATCAAGATGGGGAATTTTCAGGTAACTTTTCTCGATTTTATTTTATCTTTTTTTCTCATACCCGAGTATTCTTACCCTTGTTTTATATATATGTTAATATTTACTTAGATATAGAAAATATTTAATTTAGGGCAATATTTACTTAATTACAAAAAGTTTATGGAAATCAAGATGAGGAATTTTTAGTTATCTTTTCTCTATTTTATTTTATCTTTTTTATCTTTTTTCTCATGCCCGAGTATTCTTACCCTTGTTTTATATATAAATATATATATATATATATGGTAATATTTACTTATTGTTAGATACAGAAAATATTTAATCTAGGGCGATATTTACTTAGCTACAAAAAGTTTATGGAAATCAAGATGAGAAATTTTCGGGTATCTTTTCTCGATAGCGGTAGGAATTTTATATTTTCTCTGTAGTCAGATTTAAAAATTATATCATTTATATTGTTTAAAAAATTCCCCTTCCACATTAAAAATTATATCGTTTATATTGTTTAAAAAATTCCTCTCCCACATAATTTTTATTATACTACACATGCATTTTCTCCCTATTACTTTATTGTTTAAAAATTCCCCTTCCGCATTAAAAATTATATCATTTATATTGTTTAAAAATTCCCCTTCCTCATAATTTTTATTTATCTGCGCATGCCTTTTCTCCCTACCACTTCTATTTTATCTTCTTATAAATTTTCTTGAAAATCTTCGCTCACTCGTCTTTCATCGTCCGGACTTTCAAGTTCGTTAGTAAAAAGATAGTTAGTAAAAAAGTTCTCGATTTTTCGATTTTTCCGCGTCTTTGATTATTAAATCTTTGATTTTCTACGCGGTAGCAACTACCATGAACAATCTTAAGAAAATCGAGCAACAACCGCGCATGTTGCTGTCAACAACATACGGATTGAATTCATCCTACACGAAGAAAATTCAAGTGGGTCTTATGACGGAAGACAACGTCGAACTGGATTTTCTACCTGCTGTTAAATTAACATCTCACGGAGCTGCAGGGATTTGCTTCGACATGGAATCGTGGCAAAAATTTCAAGAAAACATGGAAACGATGTCGAGCTACTTAAATGGTGATAAAATTAATTTGAGCTCGATCATCTTTAACAAGATAATTATAAATTTCACTACCGCATATGGTGCTAGAGCCATACTAATAACATATCGTGAAAACGAACAAGAAGATCTTTCTTCCGAAACTGCGGAGGATACGAACGAAAACGGACCGAAGGCGAAGAAACGTAAAACTTACAACATTGCGATAGTCATGCAGAGAACGACTTTTCAAGGTGTAGAAAATATAGTTAATTGTGTGAACGCTAATTTAAATCGTCTAAATTTTATTTCAACTAATGTCAACGAATGTGCTCGATATTTAATTAACGAAATACAGTTAAATCTTCCTGTCAACGGTAGCATTAATAGCAGTATCGTGAAACTCACGATCAGAGGTAACAGTAAGGAAATAGAACGTAATGTACGCACCCAACTGAAAGATTTAACATTTCTCGATGTATACTTCGAGATAACATTTTTAGAAATAATTTCACTTTATTTCGAACAAATTGTATATGCAATTATATCAAAACGTAAATTTTAATAATTATTCGACGAATATTTTTTTGAAATGATTGTGAATAATTTTGTTCTGTAAAATATTTTAAATATAAATCATATTTGTACTTTTAAAACCATTGTTCAATTTTCTTTCACTTACTCTTTCCAGAAATTTCCTCAACATGCATGTTCCTGTTTACCTTCATTAAGCAGCGAGTTATTTTAAAATAAAATTTTATCTGACATCTTTCTAATCTACGACGATGTATTATTATTTTTTATCGTGACGCGAGTCGGAATGCTCGCCTGTACAAATATTTGCGTGTTCTTTTTTATTACCCTACGCCATTGTCAGCTACTACCTGCCACCGGTCGACCGCACGACGCTTTTCTTGGCCAAAATGTTTTTACCCCACCCCGTCTAATATCGACCATTTGATTCGACGAGCTATCCTTGCCATACGTATACCCGAACTGTTTTTACCCCACCCCCGTCCAATATCGACCATTTGATTCGACGAGCTATCCTTGCCATACGTATACCCGAACCCCCATGCCGTACTCTACGCAACTTTAGCTTAAATACCACATCTAATCCTTAGACTAGTAAGATCTCGTTTAGCTCAACATACTAGGACCCTGCTCGGAAACACGGAGGTCCCGGGTTCAAATCCAGAGAAAATCAGAAAAAATAAAAAATAAAAATTCTCATCCCCACCTTTCGGGGCCAGTCGCCATTTTTTTTTCCCCCAACACCCTTTCCCCCTAACACCCACACTCGGAAAAGCCAGACGCCGGTGGTGGGGGAAAGATAAGATAAGACCCGGCGCCAGACGGGTCGGTGGTGGGGGTTTGTTTTGACGGGCCATACCTGCCATTATACTACTTACTGTTTTAGAATAACTAATTACGATCTTACGGAAAGATATTGCATCGAGAAAATATTACGCTATGTGAGGCAACGTTCGGTAAAAGAGAAGTGGAAGAAATTTAAACAACAATCCAAGCACACCATTATAATCGAGCAGACTGCTACTTTTGTAGCCAAATGGCTTCAACCGGAAAAGGAAGTATCTTGCTCGTACATTAAATCATCATTAAATACCATCGCACAAGATGTATTGAGTCGCCTAAAACAAAAACATCCTAATCATAAAATATTCTCCGAAAACGCTACACACAAATTTAGCTATACATCGTATATTGACAACAATGTCTACGATAATTTTTGGAACCTAGAGGAATCAACTCAAATTTTGGATATACTCGAAGAACACATGTTTAAAGAATTAAACTTTCGACCAAGCAAATCGAACGTCAAAAAATTGGAATATAGTTGTATAGATAATGTATATTTATTATAAATAATAATATATAATATAATTATTACCAATTATATATTGTGAACATATCCATATATGTGTGTTTAAATAATTAATAAATTAATTAACAAATAAAATAAATAATTATAATTAATATAATATTAATGATAATTAATAATGAAATATTAATTTTTGAATAAATTTAAGTTATTTATATTAAAAATACATCTTTTTTTTCTATCTCTAATTATTTTCCGTATTATAATTTCCATAACAGGTCTTAAAAAATAAATATGGCCATAAAATTATTTTATTAATAATATATCAAAGTGTAGCCAGAAGACTTGGTGTACGATGCGATATAGAAAATATCAGGAACGTACATTTATATTTTGGAAACGTAAATATATGTAAGTATAATGGATTATGAATTATTTAAATTTTTCGTTATATTTTTACTTTTATACACAGACACATGTTGTACATACATGTATGTATAACTTCATTGTTTTTAGGCTAGAGAGCAACTTAGAAAATGCAATGTTCATTATTAACATATGTGATAAATCCTTGGGTTGTCTTATCAAGCAACAGTGTGATTCAGAACCATCTGAAATAATAACAGCTAAAGAGGTTGGCAATTACTTATATTTAATTTATATTAATTTTAACACTCTTAATTATTAATACATTTGTAACTTCGGTAAAAATACGAGTTATTGAAACACACTTTATAAGTAAAAAGAATATACATTTCTCATTTTTTTCTTTTATAATCGTAGCTTTGTTCATATGTATTACAATTTCTTTCATCTTTCAGTTATTACTAGAAATTCTACAAACATTTGAGGAACCGCCCTTTTATAATAATGCTTTGATGATTGTGCCAAATGAAGTATTACGTTATAGAAAATTATTAAATTCCTCGATTGACCAAAGTAATAACCATGTAAGATAACACATGTTAATATATAATAACGATAAATATAAACTTTTTAGTTGTATTTTCTTTCATATAACACATCCAATTATGTACAATAAATCATAATTATCTATAATTCAATTAATTTAACTTGCTATATAAAAATACATTTAGAAGTTACTTAAAAACAAATATTATTTAAAGTTTAATATTATACATATTTTCCAGGATATAATATTTCATCCTTCTGTTATGGAAAAAAAGATAGATCAAAGACCTAATAAATATGCAGTTGGAATGATCGTAACACATAATGAATATGAAGATGAGTGTAGTGATATTAAAAATGAACATAAAAAAAATATTGCAGGTGTAATAATCGGATGGTACATAAACGGTCACAAAATTAGGTTAACCGGAAACAAAGTATGGCAATCTCGTATGCGTTTCAATATTTGTTGTAATTTTGGGGATCCAAATGATCTAACACATTATGTAATTCTTACGGAAAAGAATGAAATGTGTTGCGTAAATGAAGGTATGGATATCAATTAAATATATTGATTTAAAATTACATTTGTATAGTATTCGCGTCATTTCTTTTACACAATATAAAAAGATTGTTTTATTTACTATATTTATTCTTTTATTATAGTTATTTTATTTATTTTAGTTATTATATCTTATTTATTATATTTCTAATGTTTCATTAATTATTCTTAGTCATTGATTTTTTTACGTTTTTTTTTAAATTTAGGCGCCCTGACTTTAACATCTAAATGGATCGAAAACAGCGAAATAGGTCGATATTTTTGTAAATTCAAAGACACGCATTACGTGCCAAATAAAATGATGGAAAAACTTTATCCTCACAATGCCGCTATAATTGGCGAAAGAAACAATATATAAAATATAGTAAAAAAATTGATTACCTATGTACAGGGATTGTCCGGAAAGTAATGCGTCGCATTTTTTGTGACGCGACTATACATCGCAGAGCGATGGGACCGGTTGGGGAGGAAGGGGGGTACCCTTAGCTTTCCAACGGTAGGTCGCTCAATTGTTTCCATGCGCTTGGAGGGTTAGGACGGCTTATTCTGTGAACCTCTGCTTAGTGGTCGCGTCGAACTTGTGATGGAGAGAACGATAGAGCAACGCTATGCGATAAAGTTTTGCGTGAAGCTGGACAAGACGCCGCTGGAAACTTTTGAAATGCTCAAGAAAGTTTTCGGGGACGATTGCCTTTCCAAATCGCAGTCAAACAGATGGCACAAGATGTTTAGAGAAGGTCGGAAGGAGGTCGCCGACGAGGCCCGCGCAGGACGCCCGTCAACATCGCGAACGGACGACAATGTGACTCGTGTGCGCCAATTATTGAATTCAGACCGTCGAATGAATGTTCGCTTAATGTCGGAATTATTGAACTTGCCGAAAACGATTGTTCACGAGATTGTATCGGAAGACTTGGCCATGCGGAAGATTTGCGCAAAACTTGTGCCCATACGGCTCACACCGCCTTTGTTATTACGGCCTACCTGACCCGGATCGGTGTGGCAACGGTGCCGCAGCCGCCCTACAGTCCCGACTTGGCCCCGGCGGACTTTTTTTATTTCCTCGGCTGAAAAGGGAGCTCAAAGGACAACAGCTCGAGTCGGTTGACAACGTACAAGCTACTTCGACGGCCTCCCTGAACAGCATCCCAGTCAAGGAGTTCCAGAAATCTTATGACGCATGGAAATCGCGTTGGCAAAAATGTATTGACGCAGAAGGGTCATACTTCGAACAATTTTAAGTTGTTTTACCTATGCGATCAATAAATTCCTTTTTAAAAAAATGCGACGCATTACTTTCCGGACAAACCCTGTATAAGCGCAAACACAGTAATTAAAGCGCATATATTTTTTGGTAAATTATTGCATATGTAACGTTATATCAAAAAGAAAAGCGGACTTTTCCGGTCCTTTTTTTGGGTGGAGAGTCGTTTTTAATGCAATTAAATGAGTAAATGTTACAAAATAATATAAAAATAAAATTACTTATTAGTTATAAATGTAAATTCGGACTGAGTCCTCTTATATATCTGAATAGTGTAAAAATGTTTAAATGCTGAATTAAAAATATAACATGTATTTTCAAGCTGTATTACATCCCTATACATATACGAAATGTATAACTTACAAATCGATCAAACAATCACAAACATCTAATAGTATAAATTACATTATTAAAATATGGAATATACACATTTTTATCAAATTATACTGAATTATAAAAAAGACTATACAATTATTTTATATAATATTTTTGAATATTTTATTACATAAAGAATACTGTATACAATATCAGAAAAATTCTTAAATTGCAAAATAATATAATCTGTATGGCTGTATAATTATTTAATTATGTTGTGAATAAATATTTATTAAAGTATTATTTTTTTTAAGTATTATATAAGTATTTTATAAGTTTTTAGAATTTTTATATAAAAATTTTTAATAGTTTGTGTTTACTATAGTATTTATAAGTAAAAAAAGTTGTTATATGTAAATATCTGAAATCTAGAGATTTGCATAAATTAAAATTGTAATACTATAAACATAAATTATTATATAAATAAATCGCTAAGTCAAAATATTTTAGCATTTAAATTTTATAGCTTCATACCACTATGAAAGAGCAGACTAAAGCTATTCGTTAATTAATATATATATATATTTTTTAATGTCTTAATATTTTATTCCAAGCTGTCACATTTTGTAATATTTGAAACAATTAGAATCAATTAAAAAGCAACAATTAGAAACAATTAACTGAATAAGAGCATATATGTTCAGCGACATATCGAGATCTCTATATCAAGTTCACTAATAAATAAATCTGATAACGTTTAAGTATTTGTATCTTTTATTAAATAAAAAAAGAACCACGCCTCAAAATTATTAATTTAGATTTTAATATTGACGGTTTACTTTTGCTTAAAAGTAACTATTTTGTAAAATAGTTTTATTAGTGGAAAAGGAAGAACTAGTGTTGTTAATTTCTGCTCTAAAAAATTTATTATTATATATATATATTTTTTTTAACATTATATAAGAAATTTAATATAAAAATTTATACAATAAAAAATGTAAAGAATTTATAATTAATCTTTAGCTATACCTGACAGGGACTAAAAGTGCTACCCTGTACACTTTTTAAACTGATAACATTTTTTCACAAAGAGGCGGTTCCGGATAAGATAAAATTCTTCTCCGTTTCCAAGTTTAAATAAAAATATAAAAATATAAAAATGTGCAGCACTTGCAGATCGCAATAAAATTTTTTTCATATGTAAAACTACTTTTTCAAATTATTAAAATATTCTTCATGCACTTGTATACATTTAACATTTGTATTTAATTTTATAAAAACATAAATTATCACTTTTCCATACCATTTTGAATTTATGTCATCTAAAAGTTTTTGAAAAATACTTTATTATCATTTTCTATATGTTTATATTTTATGTCAAAAGTCACAAGTTTTACTATTTCTAAATAAAAGCAATTTTTGCCAAATTATATATATACTAAATAAACAAACTGTGTGAGAATAAAACCAAAATAGGATACTATTTTGAATATAAATCGTGACTTTTCGATGAACTATCGCGATACATCAAACCAACAACAATTGTTATAATTTTATATTACGAGTTTTTTTGAAAAATTAAAATATTCTATAATTGATAATTATATAATAATTATTATATTTCTAATTTCCGCTCATATATTATGTTATACATAGAAGGTCTCAAAATTTTAACAAAGTTTACTTTATCAAATCTCTCTGATAACACACACACACAATAGAATTTTTATTAAATTTAAATAAAATATTTATCTCAATACTCCTTTATAATAATAATCATTTATTTGAAATAAATAATATTGATTTGATGTAAAAAATATTTATTGTTTGATGTAAGAAAATTTTTTTTTAAAACAGAAAAATAAATATTTATTTGTATCAAATGAATGATTTATATAGCAGTATATAGAAATAAAAAAAATATTTCCCAATGTTGTGTCCCCGCTTGGGAAAGGGGTTCAATAATTAATCTGCCACGTATTCACTAAATTCACAATCGGTTTATTTTCTGTCCTTCGTATAACTCAGCTGTGTGTGTGTGCCTTACGCTGTGCCGGAGAGAAAAAGAGCGGATCCGCCGATACGCGTGTATATATATCTAAAAACTCACCTTTAAAAAAAGGTAAAAAAGGCGACCAGTTAAGGGCACGCCATTAACAAAAATTATCCATTGCAAACCCATGTAGAATCCTATCCTATTGCAAACCCATGTAGAATCCTATGAAAAATTAATCATTGCAAACCCATGAAGAAACCTAGGCAAAATTAACCATTGCAAACCCATGTAGAATGGTACCCATAGCAAACCTATGTAAAATCCTATGAAAAATTAACCATTGCAAACTCATGTAGAATCCTATGAAAAATTAACCATTGCAAACCCATGTAGAATTGTATTAAAAATTATCCATTGCAAACTTATGTAGAATCCTACATTGCAAACCCATGTACAATAGAATTGTATGAAAAATTATCGATTATAAACCCATGTACAATCGTAACAAAAGTAATGAAATAAAAAAAAATTTGCGCCAAGTGAAAGTAGAAACTTGTACCAGTGGAAAATTAAAGTTGCAGATATATATAGAGTCGTATAATGAATCAGTAAAAATTTAAATTTGCAAATGTAGAATCGTACCATAAAAAAACTTATCTTTTAAAAAAAAAGATAAACAAGATGCCAAGTCCATGCGCCATGTGAAAAAGAAATAAAAAAATTTTAGTTAAAAAAACTGAGAGCGCTGCTAAATAATATTCTAACAATATTAAAATTAAATTGTTACTTTTAAACTCATTACAGTTAAAATATGTTTTGTGTTTAAATTAATTAATGTTACTTTAAGGTGCATTGTAATTTTGAAACTTAGCTAACTTTTTTGAAATGGATAATTTTTAATACAATTCTACATGGGTTTGCAATGGTTAATTTTTCATAGGATTCTACATGAGTTTGCAATGGTTAATTTTTCATAGGATTCTACATAGGTTTGCAATGGGTACCATTCTACATGGGTTTGCAATGGTTAATTTTGCCTAGGATTCTTCATGGGTTTGCAATGATTAATTTTTCATAGGATTCTACATGGGTTTGCAATAGGATAGGATTCTACATGGGTTTGCAATGGATAATTTTTGTTAATGGCGTGCCCTTAACTGGTCGCCTTTTTTTACCTTTTTTTAAAGGTGAGTTTTTAGAGATTATTTTATACACACGAAATTTTCTCGCAATTCTTCGAATATGAGTATATATATAAGTCCGCGCGGCGCGATTTTTTTTCTCTCTCGAACCATTATTAATAGCTCGAGATTTTTAAAATACGTGTGTTTATTCATTGATTATTGTACGATTCGTCACGCTAAAAATAGCTTACGATATTTAAAGAATTCAAGAAATGTATTTTTTTTATTAATCGTAAATTATTTTTATCGTACACACGTGACCAATTGAAGGAATGAGAACACTTCATTTCGATGGGTACAGAAGAATAACTCGAAGCGCTAACAGAGAAACTCTTTCGCATATGTAAAATCCTAGGTGCAATCTTAAAAATTTCTCTACTGATGAATTTATAATTAAAATGTATACTCTTTGTATAAAATAATTATTTTTCTAGGTTTCGAATTTGTTTCTGAATTATATTGTTATACGAAAAATTACCTTATTAACAGTTATATTATTATTTTTACAATTGCACGAGTATATATCGATAATAAAACAAAAAATTATTCTTATTATAACAAAAATCTATTTTTACAATTATTCTTATATACAAAAAAATTATTTTTTCAAACATTATTTTTTATAAAAAGTAAAATCTTTCATAAATCTTTTAATGCTAAACAAACTTTCTTCTTTATAACTTTCAGCTGCAATTTTTTTAATTTGCACAATTTTATTCAAAAAATCTAATCAAGTCATGTTTTAAAACGACACAATATCTGCAAAAATTTTGCAAATTTGAAAAGGCTCGGTATAAATAATTTTTAAAATATCTTAAATTCATTTAGATATATTTTAATAGTCATAATATTACTTTAAATTCTTCAAAAAGGCAATATTTTGCGTAAAGTTATTTAAATATATTTTTCGCCAAGTTTTGCAAAGTTCCTTTTTATATGATGTGTCCATCAAGTAAAATAACAATAAAATGTATACATAAAGAAACTTACCTTTGAGCATATTTTTTTTTCCAGAGAGTTTTATAATGGGATATCCACTGAAATTTCTTGCACGTGGAACTAAAATTCTCAACGTCGCTCAAACTAATGGTTTCGTTTTCCAGAATACTTAATATAATTTCGTTAGATAAATTTTGTATCGTAATCATTATATAATAATATAAAAATAACTTGCAGTTTTTATCTTAACAAATCGAATGATATTCTATGCACCAACTCCGCTTTGTAGAGAGCACGTGGCTTACTGCGTCGTAAACTGCCATAGACTGGGAATGACAAAATGTTTCATGGAAGGGAAATGGGGGAGAGAGACAAAGAAAAAAATACAATATATATATTTCTTTTATCTTTCACTCGAGTTTCAGTTTCCACTATGATCTTTCTTGGACTTGACCCGGAGGTTTTTTATTTATTCTCAAAATTATCTTCTTTTCAATGTGTTTTTGATAAGTGCATAACCATAATAATTGTATACTAAAAATCATATTTTTTTCTGTTCTTGTTCCATTGGCGAGATCTGACAAAGGGACACATATTCTAAAGGTAAAAGATAAAGGTTGCAATAAAAGTGAAACTATGACGAATAGTATACAATAGTTACTTTGTATTGGCTAAAATTCTTTTCTTTGTTCCCCCATCTCCTTCCTCGAAGCATTTTGATCATTTCCAGTCTATGGCTGTTCACGATGCAGTAAACCACGTGTTTTCTACAAAGCGGAGTTGGTGCATAGAATATCATTCGATTTGTTAAGATAAAAGCTGCAAGTTATTTTTATATTATTATATAATGATCACGATACAGAATTTATCTAACGAAATTATATTAAGTATTCTGGAAAACGAAACTATTAGCTTGAGGGACGTTGAGAATTTTAGTTCCACGTGCAAGAGATTTGAGTGGATGTCCCATTATGAAACTCTCTGGAAGAAAAAATATGCTCAGAGGTAAATTTCTTTATGTATGAACTTTTTTGTTATTTTACTTGATGGACACATCATATATAAAAAGGAACTTTGCAAAACTTGGCAATAAATATATTTAAATAACTTTACGCAAAATATTGCCTTTTTGAAAAATTTAAAATAATATTCTGACATTTAAAATATATCTAAATAAATTTATAAGATATTTTAAAATTTATTTATACTTAGATTTTTCAAATTTGCAAAATTTTTGCAGATATTGTGTCGTTTTAAAACATGACTTGATTAGACTTTCTGAATAAAATTGTGCAAATTAACAAAATTGCAGCTGAAAGTTATAAAGAAGAAAGTTTGTTTAGCATTAAAAGATTTATGAAAGATTTTACTTTTTATAAAAAATAATGTTTGAAGAAATAATTTTTTTGTATATAAGAATAATTGTAAGAATAGATTTTTGTTATAATAAGAATAAATTTTTGTTTTATTATCGATATATACTCGTGCAATTGTAAGAATAATAATATAATATAACTGTTAATAAGGTAATTTTTTGTATAACAATATAATTTAGAAACAATTTTGAAACCTAGAAAAATAATTATTTTATACAAAAAGTATACATTTTAATTATAAATTCATCAGTAGAGAAATTTCTAAGATGGCACCTAAGATTTCACACATGCGAAAAAGTTTTCCGGTTAGCGCTTCAAGTTATTCTTCTGTACCCATCAAAATGAAGTGTTCTCATTCTTTCGATTTGTCACGTGTGTACGATAAAAGTAACTTACGATTAATAAAAAAATACATTTCTTGAATTCTTTAAATATCGTAAGTTATTTTTAGCGTGACGAATCGTACAATAATCAATGAATAAACACACGTATTTTAAAAGTCTCGAGCTATCAATAATGGTTCGACAGAGAAAAAAAATCGCGCCGCGCCGGCTTACATATACCCATATTCGAAAAATTGCGAGAAAGTTTCGTGTGTATGAAATTAGCCCTTTATTTTTTAATTTTTAATGTTTGTATAGTTGTTCCAGATTGTTCTATGTTTGTTCTACATTGTTCCAGAGTTATAAATGTAAAACCCCAAAAACAACAGAACAAACGCAAAAGAACGGTTTTTTATAGCGGCCCCTCATTTTTTGAAAAATCCAATTTTGTTGTTGTTCTGGAATATGTTCTAGTTGTTCTAAACATTGTTATAAAATACGAATTCTCTGAGGGATGTATTTACAAAAATATAGCAAAAAATGTTCCTTTTTATAGTGGCCCCACATTTTTGGTATTCCATTAATAACTGCTAGATTAGTTACGCTACCAGAATACTTTCTCCTAAAAATAAAGAAACACTCAATTAGGAATGAATAATCTGTATGCTAAAGCAGATTTGAGAATGTAAGAATTAATTATTAAGAGGGCGAATTTCAAATGTAATTACTTAATTACTTCGAAATATATATTACAGCTCATTAATCGACTTTATAATAGTTCTGGAGAGAACTCACTGACACTTTAATACAATATTAACAACAATTAGTATGTAAATTACCGATAAGCTAACATTTGTAATGTATATATAATATAAAATTTATATATATAATATAATCATATATAAATATTAATATTTATATATAATATAATAATATATATATATATATATATATATATATATCTGTGTACATATTTCATCGCGCTATGATGCAGTAATAAAATAAAAAACAAATTCTCTTATTATTTAACATTTTATTACAACATCGCCATTAATCATAAAATATCAGTTTGTCGGAATAAAACAATGTATAAAACAAATCAAAAATATATAGTATGCGTAAATATGTATGTATTTTAAAATAATATTTTGCGTTTTTTACATTTTAAAATTCACGGAATCGAAAAATCATTAATAATTATTAGTTTTTTCAATTTGATTTGAATATATAATATGAGATGATTAATTAATTTTCTTAGTATGATTTTTGAAAATTTTATTAAGTGTTTTGTGTTTTAAATTTTAGATGGCCTACTGCACAGCTATTTTGTAAAGACAAAATGGGCATTGAATTTAATGACTTAAATATTAAACATTTTAAAGAGGGAATGAAATGTACGGATGACTTGTGGCTTTATGTGTCTCGTATGTCTCAGATGTATTATTACCGTAATATACATGAAAACGATATTATAGTAAAATCTCTCGATCTGCATGTAAAAGAGCACTCTTTAAAATTGTTGATTTTATATGATGAACTTACTAGAAACATATATCAACAAAATCACCGGTATGTGCGTGACTAAATGTATTTGAAAATATAAAAAATTATTATTATGTGTAATTGATTATTCTGTAATAATTTTACATATTGTACATTTTTTCAGCCAATGTAATTTAACAGAAAGATACTACAGCATAAGAATATTTAAATGTCTGTATCAATACATATTTTATCCTTTACATTTGAGACAAATTGTATTAAAACCCAATCATAAGCAACGTTTGGAGGATTTAATTGTCGCAATATTACAATATTGTCATCCCAATAAGGGTATTACTGTGTTGTATATAGATAAATTCATAGACAATATTGTGCAAGAAGTATTAAAGTTGTTAAAAGATGAATATTGTCGGCATCCAATATTGTCCATATCATCTGAACAATTATCGATTTGGAGAACAAATCGTATTAATAAGAATTTTTGGTGCGAAAAAGATGCAAAATCAATAAAATATGTACTCGACAAAATTATCATAAGTTTTGACTCTTATAAATCATGGATGGAACCGAATCATATTTATATGTCGCAGGTATGTTAAGTTTTTTATGTATGTTTTTTATTATCTATCATGAATTATATAATAATTTTCAATTTATCATAAATATAATATTAATTCTCTATTATAATTATTTTTATTATATTTTTACACTTATTATTCTTCGACAGACTAAAGAAGACACATTATATTATAAACAAACGTTGTGGTTGGCAATATATATCTGCGTTGCAAACAGATTGGGTTTACATGTTGAAACAACAAAAAACGATATAGACGATATAGACGGTGATTATATTTCAAATACACTTTTGGTTTGGCAATCCAGGTAAATATATAACTGTAGACAATATATATATATATATATATATTTATTTATTTATTTATTAAATATGTCACAAACAACCACAACGTACAGATATTTACAGCATAGGAAACAACCAATATAAATAAACGTTTATTATTACAGACTTTAAACAACCAATATATATATATATATATATATATATATATATATATATATAACAATAAGTGTTTGTAACAAACCTTAGCGTCATTTCGAACAACATAATTTTCGACCATTTATTTATTTCTGATTGTAATCTAATTTTCATATAATAGCGGCTGAAGAGACAACAGTAAATGTTGAAACGTTCCGTATTTGAAGATTGTAATTTTCTTAAATAATTAAAGTTATTTATATTTTATAGCTATTACACACTCATCAAAAAGCGTATATATAACTCGCTGTATTATTTTTTATTTATAATATACGAGTTAAACTCGTATATTTAATAATATTAACGATATTTTTTAAATATTATTATATTGTGATTGTTTGTGACACAATTAAAAATATGTTTCTCCATGGTTCCCCTCTCAAATATTTTATTTGTTGCATTATAATATAAGTCAATGTTTAAAAAGTATTACAAAAAAATCTTCGTTTTTGCATAAACTTAAAACTTATAAATATCTTTAAAAGATATAATTATTTTTGTTACGTATCTTAAATTTCACAATTAAACTACTCCAAAGAATAAATAACAAAATAGAATAGAAATATAATATTTAATTATACATAGTAATATAGCGTTTTCTAAAACAACAATTGTATCCTATATATTTAAGCTTATATATGTTTCGTGGATAATTTTTTTCATTGATATGTTTATTTCAATACATACTTTTATGTGCAAAATGAATTATATAATTGGAAAGTCGAAAAAAATTGAACAATCTTATTTATAAAATTTTAATTAATTTCTTCTTTTACGAAACTGCATCAGTAATTAATTACTTTAATTCATGTTAAAACTAAGATTTGATTTGATATGCAGCGTGTTCCAATATAGTCTTGCACTAATCAAATGTCTCGAAAATAAATTATTTTATACAAATATCGAGACAAAAGTTATAGAATTTAATAAAGTTTATTTATTAACTTTATAAATTTTCTCTTATTTTTAATATAAAAGTTATATTTTTTATAAGTTTTAAAAATTTCATAAATTTAACTTATGCAATTGGAAATAAGATTATTTTGTACGTTTAACAATTATTATGAACAGAATTTTACTTGAAAAAAGAGAAACTATTGGACATAACCATGGCTGAAAAAGAAATTATTTTGAAAAAGACTGATCTAATTTTGGAAGTATTAAAGGAAACATTAGATTGAAAAAAATTGATTTCTAAAGTAGAAGGACACTTTCGATAAATGTCTTGTTAACAAATGATATACATATAATTTAATATATTGTACTATAATACATTGAATAAATAAAATAATAATAATAATAAGTTTTCTCATTTGCTATAAGAAAGAATTAGTTCAAAAAAGACTAAAAAATTTATCATTGAATAAATATTATTTTTAAACATCTACATTACTCTGATGTACATGAACATGTTATTTCTTTATTGTTTATACAGAAATTGTACAGAAAATACAGAATGTTTCACGTTTGAATGGACAGATAATACAGATAATGCAAAGATTTCTAACATAAGAAAATGCCAACGAGTGTCGCCTCAAGTTAGAGACAGAAATGCACGTATGGTAAGTAGTTATTTATATAAAATATTGGTAGTGTTAGACTTTCATTTTATAGTGGTTATAACTGCGACGTTTAATATAAAAGACATAATCAACGATGTTTCCTCTGTAAAATACTTTAAAAACATTGAAATCAATAGCTTAATTCTAATAAATTAAAAAGCATATAATACATAACATTAGTTTTAGATTATAAAGTTTTGAAAATATATCTAAATATTTTTTTTCTTACACACATTTATAATTTGAATTTAATCATTATACCATATATGATATCATAAGTGATTTTGATTAAAAAAACAATTTTTTTAAGTCTATGTCGTCAAGATCGATTTCAACCATTGAGAATATAAAGTATTTGTGGATATTTGGCCCCTTTTCCTTTTCCTATTTAAAGTATGATTTAGGATCAGAACATATGATTGATTATAATGAGGTAAGACAATTAAATTCACACATTGCACATTATAAATTAAAGATATGTAACAAAGTAACATATATTATAATTATACGTGTAAAAATGTAATTATAATTATTTTTAATTCAAATTATTACAATAATATAAATTACATAATATATATAAAAGCGTCAACTATACTAATTTTTCAGACAATATGTACACCAGATGAAACGTTTCGGAAAAAAAGATCGCCTAATCTAAAATATGCGATTGGATTGATAGTTACACATAAGCATAAATTGAAAGATAATACACAAAAAGATGTTGCTGGAGTCATTATTGGGTGGCACAACGAATGCCACATTGAACGCTTTGTACATAAGGAAACATATTGTATTCTGAATGATATTGAAAAGGAATGTATACCGAAAAATAACATTGATAATTGGAAATCGCAACCGCACTACGTTTTGTTAATCGAGAATGATCTGTGTTACGTTCCACAATGTATGTGTTATATGTAATACTTCATTATACTTTATATACTGTATATTTTGTGATATTTTTGTTTATATTGTTTATGTTACATGGCATAATACATTTGATACTATATTTTTTATTTTTACGTTTTTTTTAGGCGCTATAACATCGGTATGCAAAGAATGGATAAATAATTCAGAAACTGGAAAATATTTCTGTAAATTTGAAGATAATCATTATGTTCCAAATAACATGCTAGGACAGCATTATCCAGACGATGCTGCAGTCGTTCGCAGAATATTATTCAGTAGAAAGAAAAAATTATAAAATTAATACAATAAAAAAAGGCTTTTACACGAGCAAATATGGATGACAAAGTAAAATTACTGTATTTAAATATAAAATTTACAAAAAATTCGTGCAAGACGTTTCGTCACTTACTTGTGACTTCTCAATCGCAAAATTAAATATAATTACATATAATAACGGTCTATAAATTTCATCTTAAAGCTATAATTGTCTTGTTAGCATTATAAAATATACTAATATGTCCATGTTCTTTGTAATAATTTAAATGCTCAGAAATAATTAATGTTCGATCTATGTTAACAATAGCGTACAATTAAACTTTTATACGGAATTTATTAGATATAATTAATATTAGTTAAATTGCAAACACTTACATATTTTTATTATTTGCTTCGATTTCCATTATAATGTGTTATTCTTTATCGACTTCTAGGCTGATTGTATACGCAGTATGTCTCTCATGAGCTTTATATATATTATTTAGAAAAAGGTGAAATTTATTTATATTTCGTTTATTTTGTCTAAAATCGGGAAATATGTCTTGTCCAATAAAGCAATATCATTTATAAGATTCAAACTGTTTTTTTGTTGTTTAATGTGTATTGTTTCTGATATTAACCTTTTGTAATAATTGCTTTCACAATCTAAAATTCTAACGTCATTTTAATCCATATTATAATTCATGTTAATAATATGTCTAGAACGACGCTCAACGTTTATACGTATATATGAGCTTGATTATCACAAAACTTATGCAAATTTAAAATTAATATAAAATAAAAAAAATAAAAAAATTTTAGTTAAAAAACTGGGCGCGCTGCAATGAGTTTAAAAGTAACAATTTAATTTTAATATCATTAGAATATTATTTAGCAGCGCGCCCAGTTTTTTTAACTAAAATTTTTTTATTTCTTTTTATTTTATATTAATTTTAAATTTGCATAAGTTTTTAAATTTTAATTTTTTATAAAAATGTTTATTTATTCGCGCAATAATTGGACATTACTTTTTGTAGAGATATTAATTTTAGAACATAAATTTTTGTCAATTGATAGATTTTTTTACTTAAAAATACTTTTTTGTTTAACACTTTTTCACATGGCGCATGGACTTGGCATCTTGTTTATCTTTTTTTTAAAAGATAAGTTTTTTTATGGTACAATTCTACATTTGCAAATTTAATTTTTTATTGATTCATTATACGACTCTATATATGTCTGCAACTTTAATTTTCCACTGGTACAAGTTTCTACTTTCACTTGGCGCAATTTTTTTTTTATTTCAATATTTTTGTTACGATTGTACATGGGTTTATAATCGATAATTTTTCATACAATTCTATTGTACATGGGTTTGCAATGGATAATTTTTGTTAATGGCGTGCCCTTAACTGGTCGCCTTTTTTTACCTTTTTTTAAAGGTGAGTTTTTAGAGATTATATCATTCATTTTTGTATATGATAAGCATCTTTAAATAAATAAGCAAATTCAATTTTTCTGGCATTTTTTTATTACAGGTACATATATATCCAATAATTAATATACAAAATTAAATATTATTCATCACACAATTTGTATCAAAATAATATATTTTTTAAAATTTATTTTAAATTTATTTAATCATTTTTATCATTGTGATTGTAGTGGCAAGGATCTTATTGCTCAGTGTCATTGCAAGCATCTGGCCTGTATATACCATAATATATTGTGTAATACATTGGCTAAGTATGACAATATGGATTTTGATAGATTCCCATGGAATATTGGAATTTTGTCGGACTTGCAGTCATCCACCACATATGCAGCCTACAATTAAAGAACGCATTTATTCCATATTATTTGCTTCCGTTATTGGCATAGTGCACATTTTTATATATCTCAATGCTGTAGATAGCAAAACATTTTGAAAACATCTATCTTTCTATGTTATCTGCTTTTTTGAAAATATTGCAGCAAATTTATTATGGCAATATGCTTGTCCTCCTGCAGTTAAAGAGGCTTAGTATTTTAATATAATCTTTATTATTTGTATCATTTCCTTTTTCTTGAGAATTACAGCAATGCTTTTGTACTATATTGTCTTGCATCCCTCAAAAACACAACATACTTCAAACGCACCAGTTCAAGCAATGTAACTTTGATATTTATTTACTTTAAAAAATGAGAGATAAACTATACAATATGCAATTAACCTTATGACTTTTATAAATCTTATGATAAAATCTAACTCTCTCTTAATCTTTATTATGAAAAGAATTTCGGTATTATATGAAATAATTTCATTGTATAGTTTAACTTTCAAAAATTTTGCAAAATAAAATAACTCATACATTGTATTTCTACCATATATATAAAAAAAAGATAGGTAAATATAAATAAATAAATATATATTTATATTTATATATATATATATATATAAAATGTTGGATTTTTATTATATATATAATATATAATTTTATAAAAAATCTTTTTTATATGCTATTGAATTTTAATACATACAATTTTGATTATATGTATTTTAATTGATTATACTTATAAGTATTTTTATATTATCTTAAAAAGACTGCATAGAATTATTTGTGCGACACTCTTATATGTATGTATAATTAATAGGGACCAACTACACATTTTTTTTCCACTGATATAATTTTAAAAAATCTTTTTTATATGCTATTGAATTTTAATACATACAATTTTGATTATATGTATTTTAATTGATTATACTTATAAGTATTTTTATATTATCTTAAAAAGACTGCATAGAATTATTTGTGCGACACTCTTATATGTATGTATAATTAATAAGGACCAACTACACATTTTTTTTTCCACTGAATAAAAACAATCTCAATATTAAAATTAAATGATAAAAAAGATACTGTGATATTATATTGATGAGAAATGTACATTTATAATTATATTAAATACAAAAATAAACATGCTAACAATTACTATATATACATACTAGCTTTTCGGACCGCGCTTCGCGCGGTCCTCAAAGCCTTTCTATTCGGACCGCGCTTCGCGTGGTCCTCATATAGCCTATATTAAATCCGTTTTAACACAAAAAATTAATTCTTTTTTTGTATTACCGCGAACTACTTCCACATTTGTTGTCCGACTTTCACGAAATTTATATCAAAATAAATGTTTAAATTTTTTTGGATGACTACTATGTTATCTATTTCTTTCTCCCAGATATTTTATTTTACACCGCGTTTTGCATATATTTAAATATTTATTATATATTTTTATTTTTATTTTCTTGTTTATTTTAATTTCCACATAATTTCATATTTTTTAAATATAAAACATTATTTTAGTTAATATATACTTTAAATATTTTTTTTATTACTTAATTATTATATCCTTTTTTACATTTTACTCAATTTTTTTTATTTCTAATGTACCCACCGCTAACCCGCTATTATTAGCTCTCATACAATGTCATAATTCTTCAATTTACAAAATTTCCCTGTATATTACATTTTTTGTAAAACATTTTTCACTTTCTTCAATTAAATGTCCTTGATTGCTACATTCATCAATTTTAATTTTTACACTTTCTCTTTTTGTTGCTCTAGAAAATGCCACATAAAGTTGACCATGAGCAAATACAGGATGTGGCAAATAAATTCCAATTTTTTCTAAACTTTGTCCTTGTGATTTATTTATTGTCATAGCAAATGACACTCGAATAGGAAACTGTCTTCGTTTAAACTTAAATGGCAGTTCCAAATCATTTGTAATTAAATCTATCCTCGGAATCATAACAATTTGTCCTCGAGCAGGACCTGTTATAACTTCTACATAAATTATATTATTTTTCAAATTAGTTATAATAAATCTTGTACCATTACAAAGTCCTTTTTTAGTATTTAAATTTCTTAATAAGATTACTGTAGCACCAACTTTTATTTTAAGCCGATGAACTGGCATTCCAGAAGGTGTCAGTGAGTTTAGAAACTCAGTTGGAAAATTTAATTGCTCCTGTGGATCATCACTTACAATACAGTCAATAGAGAGATACTCCTTTTCTTCTCCTTCCATTAGACAAAGAATTTCATCATTAATTTTGAAAGTATCCTCATTTTTAGGACAAAGAATCGCTCGATCTTGATTTTCTCTAATCCTTTTATGGTAATTCTATCACCAAAAATCTCATTAATAAGAGATTCTTTTGATATAAAATCTTGTGGAATTTCAATCGTGTCTAGATTTAATCCATCTGTATTTGATAATTTACCATCTCCGAGTTGCATTAACCAATTTGCAAATTCTTTTTCTTCCGCAGTTCTCATATTTTGCTGTAATTTAACCTTAATTACATTCCTCCATATAGGGTTGTATTTTACAGTCGATTCAATTATCGCTGTTTTGTGTAAATGAGGTACTACTGGAAGATTTTGTCTGAAATCTCCTGCAAATAAAATACTTTTCCTCCAAATGGTTGATCATTCTTCATTAAATCCTTTAAAAGTTTATCAACTGCTGTTAAGGCATGTCCAACAGTCATGCTCACTTCATCCCATATGATTAATTTTGCATTGATCAATTCTCGTGCAGCTTGAGAATTTCCTCTAATATTTGATTTAGCTGCATCATCAATTGGAATTGTAAGCTTAAACAGAGAATGATAAGTTCTTCCTCCTTTCAAAAGTGTGGCTGCAATTCCAGTTGAAGCACATGGAAGAATTATTTCATTTCTTCCTCGAATAACACTTAGAAATGTGTTAAATAAATAGGTTTTACCACTTCCTGCAAACCCGTCAATAAAAAACAAACGTTTAGGTTCATTTTCATTTTCAATTGCTCGCATTACTATATCATACACGTATTTTTGTTCATCATTTAGTGTAGATAATAAATAATCACCACGTATTTTTTCTTCATCTACATTATACTCTGTTTCGTAAATATTTATTTCAGTTGGATTTGGTAATTGGAATTTCTCACAACTACTTCCATTATTTATCAGAATTTGTTGTATATGGTTTAACGCCATATTTTCGGGATTTACAACATTATTATTTACAAAGTCCTCAATCATAAAATCTTTGTATTTATTCCAAATTGTTGGTACATCTATTGGATTTCCAAAGATGCAAATGTAAGCAAATAATTCTCGAAGTTGTGCAGGCATATTCGATTCTGTTGCTTCCTCCATCGTTTTTCCCCAAAAATCATCAGTCTCTACTAAATTTTTTGCAATTGCTGCATCCTTAAACGTATTATAAATAATTCCATTTACATTTCTCAAATCTTCAAAACATTTTGCTCCAGTTACATGTAGTAGAAGAAGACGGAGATAAAATCTTTCAATATCTTTTATGCTTACTGTATATAGTCTTGAAATTATTTTTTCACCACCTTTTTTACGTGGCTTCCACTTAGTTTCTTTTTTATTATAAACATAATGATAAGGAATATCTGTATAAAGATAATTTGCTGCATTTTCATCATATTGATTTAATTTGAACCATGCAGTCAGCGTAGTATCTCGATTTAGCTCTCTTTGAGCAGCTTGTTCTTCATTTCCTGCTCGAA